GCGTAAATCCGACTTAAATCCGGGAATAAATCCGATATCAAACAGCCCCTAAATGTCTTTACAGGACATCAAAGCTTTCGTCGCCATTCGCCGGCGAAATGTTGAACGCCGACGAAGTAACGGTAGTCATAGTTCCCCTCCCAGCCCACGGCCACCTCAACCCACTCCTTCACTTCTCCCTTCTCCTCTCCACACGCTACGGCTTGACCGTCCACTTTGCCTCCACCGCCTCTCACAATCGCCAAGCCAAACTCCGCCTCCAAGGCTGGCCACTATCCTCCCTCTCCTCCATCCACTTCCACGACCTCCCACATCCCCCCATCCCTTCCCCTCCACCCAATCCCCAATTCCCCAACTCCTTCCCCACCCACCTCCAACCCCTCTTTGACGCCACCGACCACCTCCGCTCCCCCCTCTCCTCTCTCTTACTCTCCCTCTCCGCCTCCTCCCGCCGCCTCATCGTAATCCACGACCGCCATATGTCGTTAGGCTTTGACGCCGCTACGATCCCCAACGCTGAGTCCTACGCCTTCTGTGGTACTTCCGCCGCCTTCCACTTCGAAGCAGCGCAACTGATGAAGCAAGGAACCGGCTTGGAAGAGTTAGCGTCGCCGGAGTTCATAAAGTTTATCGAGCGGAGGAGAAGAGATGGATTCACGAGCTCCGGCTTTATCATCAACACCTGCCGAGAGGTGGAGAGCGAGTTTCTCGATATTCTTGCCCTGCGGGAGGATTTTCTCGGCAAGCCAATATTCGCTATCGGGCCGCTCAATCCTGTGCCGGTAATTAAATGATCATCAGTTGTTAGATATCAAATATTATTTTTTTCTAGCTCTTAACTATAGCCTTTTATTCATGCTTAGCATAACTTTATACAAATCTGTTTATGCAGATTCATAACAACGCAGATATCAATCGCGACGAGTGCTTGGAGTGGCTGGACGGGCACCCACCTTGCTCCGTCGTGTACGTATCCTTCGGCACCACGTCAACAATTTCCGACGAGCAAGCGGAGCAGCTGGCCTCTGGGCTTCGTCGAAGCGGGC